TAATCAATCAGTTTTGAGGCTTGATGACATCCCTTGGAGATTGAAATAGAGAATATTGCCTAAGAAAAAGACTAAGTTCATAACCAAGACTCGCCAGAGAAATCCCTCTCGTGTCAGTGTCAGAAAAAGCTGCTTCTCCTTAGCCATCTATTTTTTTTTTCTAATGGGCTTTATGAGTCTTATACCTGATTATGTTTATCTCTTTACTTGAATTACCAGGAAGCTCAGAGCCCACATCTAGAAACCATATAGCATCACTTGATATGCATTTCTGGGTACCTATCTTACCTCCTCTTCTTGTTTCTCCTTCAACACAATTCCTTCAGTCATTTTATTCTATCTTTTTGTAATATTTTGGGATTTTAAAAAAAAGATTTTATTTATTTATTTGACAGAGAGAGACACAGCGAGAGAGGGAACACAAGCAGGGGGAGTGGGAGAGGGAGAAACAGGCTCCCCACGGAGAAGGGAGCCCAATGTGGGGCTCGATCCCAGGACCCTGGGATCATGACCTGAGCCGAAGGCAGACGCTTAACAACTGAGCCACCCAGGTGCCCCCAAATTTTGGGATTTGGATCACAATTTTGTCACAATTTTGTGTACCTTCCTATGACAGAGCTGAATCCTATGCACTTGCTTACCCACACACTTCCATCCCAAGTTCTTGGGGAAATTAAGTAATTAAGTAAGATGGAAATACAGAATGAAGGAAATAATAAACCCATCAACCACGATTGTAAACCCTCTTTGTATGACCCCATTTCCACACCCTTTGCCCTCCTGCACCCCAGAGCCGGGATTTGGGTGAGACAAGGAAGGCACAAGGGTGAAGAATTTAAGGAGGCACCAACTCCTAGGGCTGTGCAAGTGCCAACTGCGAACACACACAACCTTGGGAGTGAGAGCCTCCTTAAGAAAGAGCCACCCATGGGGCGCCTGGGTGGCTCAGTCATTAAGTGTCTGCCTTGGGCTCAGGTCATGATCCCAGGGTCCTGGGATCGAGCCCCACATTGGTCTCCCTTTTCCGTGGGGAGCCTGTTTCTCCCTCTCCCACTCCCCCTGTTTGTGTTCCCTCTCTCACTGTCTCTCTCTCTGTCAAATAAATAAATAAAAATCTTAAAAAAAAAGAAAGAAAGAGCCACGCAGGGGCTCCCGGTTGGCTCAAGAGCCATGCGACTCTTATTTTCGGGGTTATAAGTTCGAGCCCCACACTGGGTGTAAAGATTACTAAAATAAATAAATAAATAAACTTGAAAGAGAAAGAAAGGAAAGAAAGAAAGAGAGAAGAAGAAAGAAAGAAAGAGAGAGAGAGAGAGAGAGAGAGAGAGAGAAAGAAAGAAAGAAAGAAAGAAAGAAAGAAAGAAAGAAAGAAAAAGAAAGAAGAAAGAAAGATCGAACCCAGGGCACTGATGCAGCCCTGAGAGTGAGGGTTTTGTTAAATTTTGTACCCTGGTCCCCTCTCTTGTCTCGCCTCAGTCCTGGCTGTACAGTTCACCCACCATCCCTCCTTCCAGGACCCCGGCCCATTTGCCAGGGTCGCCCTGCCCTCAGATTCCCAGCACTGAATGCAGAGACGGGGCAGACCCTTCTCAGTTGGGTTGCTGCTCTGTGCTCAGGCATCTAACGCCACCCCGGCTCTTTTGGCCGCCACATTGCTCCATTGGCTCCTAGTCCACTGTCACCGAAAGCCTAGGCTCCTTTCACAGGAATGGCAACCAAGCCAGATCTTCCCCCATCCTGCCTTCTCTGTGGATTTTGAATCTCCTGAAAAGGCCCTTAAAGGGGCACCTGGGTGGCTCAGTTAGCTAAGCATCTGACTCTTGATTTTGGCTCAAGTCTTGATCTCAGGGTTGTGAGATCAAGCCTGGTGTCTGGCTCCATGCTGGGCATGGAGCCTCTTAATATTCTCTCTCTCTCTCTCTCCCTCTCTCGCTCCCCCACCACCTCTCTAAAAAAAGGGGAGGGGGAGAAAAAGAAAAAGAAAGTATTTGAGAGCCTAAGGAATCAGAGCCACAGAGTAAATGGGTCAAGGAGATGAGGGGAGAGATAACAGTCAGAGAGAGGGGGGGAGTCAAGGAGATAGAGATCAGAGCCATAGGATGGGAGATGAAAGTAAGAGACAGAGCTGAGGTGATGGAGTCAAGGAATGGAGACATCGGGGAATGGGGGCAGGGGCAGGGAGGAGAGCCCAGAATTTAGAGACCTGGAGAATCAGAAACCTGAACAAGGTAGCAAAAAGATAAAGTTTAGGAAAAGGAGGAACTCAGAACAGGTAGGGCTTGGGGAAGGAAGAGACCCGCCTTCCTAGGGCCGGGAGCAGGGAGAGGGTGCTGAGATGGAGCAGATAAGGATGGGGAAAACTAAGCTAATCAGGGAGGATAAATTAAGCAGGAACACAGGTCTCCACTAGTGTGGGCTTTCTTTCGTGCTGAGTCTTGGGTGAAAGGGAGAAGCCATTGCCAGCACTGCTCTGTCCTTTCACTTCCCACCTGTCTGTGCCAGGGGAAGGGGGGATGGGGAGAGGCCGCCACTGCTGCTCTGGAGGCTGAGATCATGCCACCCGTGGGCTCAGGTGAGGTTCTGAGGAGGGGCAGGAGGGACTCCTCTCCTCCTCCGGAATTCACTAGGACCAGGCCTAGATGTCTAAGCCTTCAGAGAACAGGCCCCTCACCTGCTGGGAATGCAGAGGCTGGGAGAGGACACAGGAGTGGGGTCTGGGCTGGCTTGGGGGGTGGGGGTGGTCTGTGTTGTAACACGGGGCTGCCAGGGGCCACAGGGAAGGGCAGCACCGGGGTGAGGAGACCGAACTGAGGGTTTGCAGAGCACTGGAAGAACATCAGCCCCATTGGATCATGTGGCCCTTGGCCAAGAGTCATGGTTCTCAAGAGGAATCCCTTGTAGTGGAGTCAGCCCTGTGCGGGCAGCCGGGCTCTCCGACCCGTGTGAAGAGAAGGGCAGAGCAGAGCCTTCACCGCTGAAGCTGTGTAACACTCTGCTTTGGGGCCCGGGGTTTCCCTTAACCGAGGCCAGTGGGGATGGGGGCCTCTGGGGGAGGAGAAAAGGGGAAGGAGGTGTTTGGGGACAAGGGGGCGGGGCTAAGGGCAGGAAATGAGCTAGGAACCACCATCACCCTCCCTCCACTGCAGGAGCCACAGCCCAGAGCAGAGGAGAGGACAAAGAGGAAATGACAGATTGGGGTGGGGTGGGCTGGGGAGGGGGGGGAAACGTGCCCTGCTCTAGGAGGAGCTCCAAGTGCCAAAAACAAGCTGGACTGGGCAGCCAGGATACCTGCAGTCAATTTCAAATCAAATCAAGCTAAGTTTGTGAGTGGCTACTCCATGCCAGGATGAGCCCAGCGTTGTCCCTGCTCCCGCGGGCTTCTGAGCCCCTCTGGGGAACCCAGGGAGGCAGTAGACAGGCCCCAGAGACAGTCCCACATCCACTCCTTTGCACCCTGCACCCCTATCCTCCACCCAGCCTCAGGGCATCTCTGTTCCCTTCCATGCATCCCCCATTTTGGCAGCTTCTCCCCTCGCCCTCCGCCTTGAACCTGCTCCTCCTGGGCACAGGGAGGGTCATGGAGATTGGGGGGGATCCCACCCCACACCCTCACCTGCAGCCCAGCAAGGCTGCAGAGGGCCCAGAGCCCCACAACCACGCCCCTGGGCACCCTCCTCCAACCAGGAAACCCCCATCCTCCCCAGTGCCACCCTCAGACTTTCCTAGGGCCCCTCTCCTGCTCCTTTCATTCAGACCCAAGGACCGCCTGTTGGCCCTTCTGCCACTCATCTGCTGACCCTGTCGTCCCCCCAGCCTCCCGCTCTGTCCCCAGCAGTGATGCCGTCGCCTCTCTTTTGCCTACTTCTCTCAGTTTCTCATCTCTCCATCCTCTCCCCACTCCCAGCCTCCCCATCCCCAGGTAGTTACACAAGGGAGCCCCCTGCCTTCTCTACTCAGCCACATTTCCTGCCGCACCTGCTCGTCAGCTTCCTGGGCGCTGACCCCAAGCCACTGCCCCTTCGCCATGTCCCTCGGACTGGACCGGACTGCAGAAGCTCCATGCCCCCCACCCAACAGCAGCCCTGAGCCGCCTCCTTACCCTCCTGGCCCGAACGCTGTAGCTGTTCCTGCAAGTCACACCCAAACACCCTCTCCTTCGAGCTGCCCTTCTTCTTTCCTTTCTGCCGAGACTTCATGGCTGGAGCCCCTGGGCCCTGGCCCAGCCACCTCTGCGCCCCCAGGACCTTTGCCCTACCAGCCCCCCATAGGATCCCAAGCCAGCCTCTGGGCTTGGCCTGGCCCCAGGGGGCAGGGCTCAACTGGGGGTGGAGGGTGGCCTGGGCAACAGGCAGCGGCTCCTGCCTCTGGGCCCCCCCGGCTACTACGCGGAAGTAGCCGTGGAAGAGGAAGCTGCCAGGACCCTGGCAAGAAGTTGTGTCTCGTGGCCCAGGCTGGTACTCGCCCCTCTGGCCCTGCTCAGCCGTGGGGGAGCAGGAAGCTGTGCAGCTCCTCCAGCGCGCTTCCTGTTAGAGCATCTTTGCAACCACAGGGCCTGGGGTGGGGGAGGCAGCTGACATGCACATCCTCAACCCTTCACTGGGACTTCGCTCATTGGTCAAGGCGAGGTGACGTCAGAGCCCTGGGGTGGGGTGGTGGCGCCTGGGGCGTGAGCAGGTGACTGCCACCCTTAGGGAGTCAGCAGAATTCGGGGGGGTCCGGGGTGGAGACTGGAGGCTGGCTTGAAAGCAAGGTGGCACAGCACCCTGCAGAGCACCCCCCGGAGGGAGGATGCCCAGGCTCAGCCCCAGACGGGCCTGTGACCTCAGTCAAGTCACATTACCTTGCCGAGCCTCGGTGTCCACACGTGTGACCACGAAGGGGGCAAACTAGGCGATCTTTAATCCTTCCAGCTCTTTTTGTGGACCTCACTTGGGTGTTAGCTTCCTTGTAAAGAGTGTATGTACCGCCGTTCGCTCCCAGGCCTGTTTTGGGGAGACTCCGACGTGACCCAGGAGTGATGACACCGCGCATGAAGGCGCGGGCTGTGCGGGAAGGGGCTTTTCGCTCTGTCGGCCTACCCGGGGACTCTCAGAGGTGGCAGAGGGCATTTCTTTCCCCCTCGCCTCCCAGCCACAGGCGTCCTAGCTCCTCGCCTACTTGGGGCCGAGGGGAACGGTGCTGAGCGGGGGTTGAGTTGCCCAGGGGCAAGAGAGAAACCAGGCAGAACAGTTTTATCTGTTTATTTAAAAACAGAATATTTTATGTACAAATATGCACATATTTACACAAAATGTACATCCTAGGACCCCAGATCGTTGGGCTCCACATTCAAAGTCCTGGGCTGGCTGGGGAGCAGGGGATGACGTCTCTCTCTTGGTCCAGAAATCCAGCAGATTTCAGGCCAAGTAGGGTTTGGGCGCAAAATCTAGGTATTCTGGCTGAGTGTGTTCAGGTGGGCCAGGCAACAATGGACCGTATCTAAACCCAGCCCAGACCCGCAGAAACTGCCAGAAGAGCCCCAGGTTGGTGACCCCGAGGCCCCTGGGAGAAAGGAGACATTCCTGCCCCCAGCAGCTCCTTCTCCCCCCACCAGAACCACCCCCCCGTCCCTTGGGCTGTGATCACTACCCCGTCTCCCCTATACCACAACCAAACAAGGAGCTCTTGTCACCCAGTCCCCGCAACACTCTCCCAAGGGACCACAGACAACTGCCGATGCAGCGAGGAGCAGAGAGGCGGCCAGGGGCAGGGCCCAGGACCCCACCCTGTCCTCCTGCAGCCGGGGACCCAGGGGCTCACGCCCCGACTCAGACTCCACAGCGCCAGGCTCCCTCCTGGGAGACTGCCTAAATTCAAGTGCCTTAGAAGGGGCACCTTTCCGAGACACAGGCACGAACCCCCTGCCGGGGTCTGCGCAAGGCCCAGCTTTGTTGACTTCCGTGGAGGCCGGTCTCACACTAAGCAAGCCGAGTAATAACAAACATCCAGAGAAATCAAAAGTTTTGTTTTCTTTTTAAAGATTTGTTTCTCTTATTAAAGTATTCGGAGCAGTATTCCTTAAAGAAACTCCCCCAACAGTTTTATTTATAGAAAATATGCACATGCAGCAGGCCCAGAGGCCACCAGAGGCCACCAGAGCGCCAAGGGCTTCTCCGGTAAAAGGGTGCTAGTCTCTGGCCCCCCCCTGGGCTGACTGCTTTAACTCGCCCCTCGGCTCCCAAGTGGCGGGAGCCCGGCTCCCCTCCTCAGGAGGCCAGAATCCAGTTCCAGCTATGCCAGCATATCTGGGTCTGACCACAGTCTCCGCCCCTCGCCTCCAACTCGGCCTCATTAATACTGCTCTGGGGTTTGAGGAGATAACCTGCGCTTCCAGGTAGAGGTCACACAGCCACGCCATAACGAGCCCAGCCCATCGCAGTTCGTTTGGACTCTCTCTCACACACACACACACTCTGCGAACACACACTAGTGCAAGCGTGCACACGCACACACGAAGGGGGTGGGGAGGACTCAACCGGCAGAGCCCCCCATTGTCGAACAGAAGGGTTGCAGGAAAAGGTCGAGCAGTCAGTGGGATGGGGAGCATCTTCCTCAAGAAAGAAGGTGTGTAGGGAGGCCCCCGTGTGATGAGTAGAAATTCCCCAGGTCAGCAGAAGGAGCCAGGTTCAGGGGAGGGAGGCAGGCCTGGGTCAGACCAGATGCCCCCGCCCATTGATGTAGATGCCATTGCCCGTGGGTTTGGCCCGCAGGGTCCCATTCTCTTGAACAAAATGGTTCATGGCCTGTTTGATGCCTTCATCCCGATCTTCCTCCTCCTCTGCCCGCCCAGAGCCTGGAGACAGCAGTTCCGTCTGTGTTTCAATCTCCCTCACCGTGGTCAGCGTGGAGTAACTGCGGCCCTCCGGCTCTTCACTCTGGACACCAAGGGCAGGGGCGCGTCAGGAGCCAAGGCAGGGCAGCCAGACCGGGGCGGGGGGGTCGGTGGGGGAGCAGTGGGGTCAGAGGTCAGGTGCAAGCTCAGGGGCTCAGAGCTGGGGGCCGGTAGCAAGTGTCAGGCATGGGGAGGGACAGCCGGAGAACAAAGGCACAGCAGAGGTGCCAGGGCTGAGACACGGGGACTGGTGCGGGGCCGCTGGCCCACCCACATCCGGGAGCAGGAGTGGTGGGGACGCCGGTGGGGCCGGGGGCCTCACCATCACAGAGCAGCTACTGTTGTCCTTGAGACTATCAGGGTGGCCCTCGGCTCTCAGCCCTACACTCTCCTCCGGCTGTGGGGCCCGGACACGGGGGAGGAGTCAGAACAGGGCTCCGCCTCCTCCCTCACCACCGCTCCCCCCAACCCGACCTGTCCACTCTCCCTGATGCAGACGTCCTCACCGCCCCACCCGCCCCAGCCTGGAAAAGGTGCTGATGGTGGCCTCCCAGAGCAGCCCCCAGGCCCGTGCTGGAGGGAGCCAGGCGGACGAGCCCACAGACCCAAAGCAGCTGCGCCCCCAACCCCACCCCCAGCCCCAGCTGCGAGTCCGGGGCCAGACCTGGTGGAGGGCCGTGCTTCTGGTCCGCAGAGGGACCCCCGGCCCCGGGGATGCACTCAACCTTGGCACACACCTGGCTCCTGGGGTCCGTGTGATGGGAATGCAGCCTCCGGATGGAGTTCTCCCTGGTCAGGGTCAGCTCCTCCTCACTAGGAAAGACACGCCCCTGTTAGCAGCTGAGGGTCGTAGGGGCCTCCCAAGGTGGGCCTAGCTTTGGCCAAGCCTATGTGACACCGGGCTGGAGGGGCCGGGCGCTGTGCTGTCCCCACAAGTGTGACTGAGAGGCTGCAGGGGGCGGGGTGTGTGTGCGTGCTTGCACACCGTGTCAGAGTGTGTGTATTTGGTGATACCCGGGCATATGGATCCGACCCTCGCTCAGCAGTACGGTTCTCCCCATTCAGCTGCGGCCCAGCCCTTCTCACTTCCCGAAGGACTCTGCCCACCTCCGCAATAAGCTCCCAGTCTCTCCTCTCTCCCGGGTCCTGGCCCCCCCTCCTGCTCACCTCGTCTTTGCTCCCAGCTTAGCTCTACCCGCCCGAGAGCAGCCAGGACTCACTATTTCTGGGTCATCTGCTGAGCCTTGCGCCGGTGGTATCGGGACATGAGCACGACCACCACCACCAGAAGGCAGAAGAGGAGCGCGGCGATCACACCCACCACCACCACAGAGGCTGACACCAGGTCCACCTGCTTCCCTGGGGCATCCTGAGGGTCTGCTGGAGACAGGCCTCTGTCTGAGGGGGATGCTCAGATCCCTGACCCACCCCCAGCCCTCACAAACCCTGCCACCTGGTCCTCACCAAACACATCCCAAACCACCCCCCTAGCTTGACCCTCTGCAAAGTTCGTGCAGTCCCGCCCCTCCGAATCAGCACTGCCCCAATTCACCCTCTCCGGCTCGCTTGCTAGTGCCCCTCCAGGCCCTTGGCCCAGGCCCCTGCGGCTGCCCCAGTGCTTACCAAGAACATCCACAGTGACCTGAGAGTCCCTGGAGGAGAGCTCATTGCTGACGTGGCAGACGTAGATGCCACTGTGCTCCGTGGTCAGCGGAGGAAAGCCCAGCGTGTCCCCTTCCGCTCGGACCCCACTGGGCAGAGGCCCGTCCAGCCTGGAGGACAGGGAAGCTGGGGCGGGCGGAGGCTGCCACCACCCGACGTGCCTGGGCAGCTCTCCACCTCCCTCCCCCATGACGTCACCCAGAGCCGCTGGCTGTTCCCACGGTGCCCCTCCCTCCCCCAGGCAGGTCCAGGCAGAGGCCCCTTCTCCCTGCCGCCCAGCCTGACCCGGGAACCCCCCCACACACACCCGGGGAAGATCCACACGTGTGCCATCCCACAGGCTCCCACGGGCATCACGTCATCCAGCCCCGGGTGCCGGGCCGACGTGGCACAAGGTCCACACAACGGGACACCCCTTTCCTATCTGGGCTCAGATGTACTTGGAAAATGTGACCGCACGCCCCAACACCCAAGATGTTGCATGGCAGGGTATACGAACAGAGCCCAAGGCCCAGGCCAATGCACGGCTCAGCGGCTAACAGAGGAGAACGTGCCTGTTGGGGTCTCCCACACAGGTGCACCTGACCCCTGCCTGGTCCCTGGACGTCTCTGGCCGTGGCGCCAGCAATGCCGGGGGGTCATAGTGTCGCTTTAAGAGCAATAACAGCCAGCTGTATCTTTTCGTGCGGTCCGCTTTAGGCACGTGAGTGCCTAAATACATAAAATGCGATTCTTTAAGTACTGTATTATATTTCATAATTTGAAAGTTAGGGGGAAAAACCAAGGACTTATTGGCTTATTCCCTACCAGTGACCATGTATCGCAGACTCCCTGGTGTAAGTCAATAATAATATTTGTGACCATGCATATTCTTGCATAGGTCTGCGCATGTGCCCCAATTTATTTGGGGTTCAGGATATATTGTCCCAGCCCATAAGGAGTACACGGAGGCCCTGTGAGAGCAGGACCCTGATCCCGAGCTATGCCCTCCTCCGGGGCCAGGCTCTTACCGTGTCCAGTTGTACGAGGGAGGGGGGTGCCCTTCACTCAGGCACTTGAGTGTAGCACCTTCTCTGCCGACCTGCCACAGCTTTTGGTCTTCAAGGCCCCTCACAGAGGCCTCAGCGAGGACTGGAATGGGAGGTGGGAGGAGAAAGAAGGGGAATGACGCTTTTGATCATGCTGTTCCTCGAAGGACCCCTGCCCCTGCCACCACCCCGCTCCCCCTTCTCTGTTTCTCTGTCCTTCTCCTCTGCAGCTGAACCTAGCCCAGCACATCCTTGCTGGGTCCTTGCCACACGGTTCCCTCCCCTCTCTGAGCTCAGAGTCCACACAGATTTATCTGGGCAACAAGCCTCTAAGTCCCTCGGAAAAGATTCACACTTTTTCTGAATCCCCTGCTGTCGCCAGCGGAAGCTGCCGGCGGGGAAGGTGCTGACGCGGCACTCGTACTCGCCCTCGTCCGCCTGCACCGCGTTGCGCAGGAGCACCGCGCCGTCCAGGGGGCTCCGTGGGGGCGGCGGCTGCTCCACGCGGCCCTCGTAGGCCGCGCTCACGGAACAGGTGTTCAGTAAACTCTCCCTGATTCTCCAAAGGCTTAACGATCCTACTCATTCACACATTTCTTTAACAAACATTTGTTGAGGACCTACTTTGTGCCAAAGGCTGGGTTAGTATGAATAGAAAAGAGTCCTATGCCTGAAGAGGCTCAGAGTTTAATGCCAGGAAAACCTTATCTATTGCTCACTCAGTACCACCTAACGCACTACGCGTTGTGCGAGATGCTTGGTCTTCGTGGCTTCGAATTCCCATCAGAACCCTGTAAAGTTCATCTAATTATACTCCTTCTGCTGCTGGGGACAATGCAGACAAACAAGACTGAACAACAGCCGGTATGGAGCAGGAGGGCCAAGCAGTGGGGCCGGCAGCCCTCGGCAAGCCGGTCTGCCTTCATGGGCACCTGGGTGGCTCAGTCGGTTAAGCGTCTGCCTTCGGCTCAGGTCATAATCCCAGGGTCCTGGGATCGAGCCCTCCATCGGGCTCCCTGCTTGGCGGGGAGTCTGCTTCTCCCTCTGCTTCTCCCTTTGGCTTGTGCTCTCGCTCTCTCTCCCCCCTCAAATAAATAAAATCTTAAAAAAAAAAAAAAAGGCTTGTCTGTCTTCGGGTATTTCCAAAAAAGTGCTTTCAATCCCATGTTTATACCCGATTCTCCCAACAACCCTGTGGAGCGGGGCAATCTCCTTTGTAAACAGGAGGGCACTGAAGGTCAGAAGGTCAGAGGGGTCTGAGTGGTCTGTCAAGGTCATCTGGGATGGGCCCCCGGGCGTCTCCCTTCGCACTAGCGCTCTCTAGGCCACACTAGGGGGCCTTCGGGATCCAGCCTGGCCAGACTGGGGTGGCTTAGGGTCTCTCTACCCAAGATCCAAGTACTCACAGGCCACTTGGAGGATGTGGGTGATCCTCTGGTCCTGGAGCAGGCCAGGGTGGGACACCACGCAGGTGAGGGGCTGCCCATTCATGCTGCGGCTGGGCACCAGGTGGAACTCTGAAGTGACAGCAGCTGAGCGGGAGTGCTTGAAGGAGCGGCTGGACGCTGTGCCCTTGACCTCCGTGTCCCAGGTCACGCTGGGGGCTGGGCTGCCCTCTGCCGTGCAGGAGGCTGCCAGCGTCAGGCCCTGGCCCTCTTCTAGCGCTGGCCCGGGGTTCAGTGAGGGCAGGGGAGGTACTGCAGGTGGTGGGAGGCAGGGGTCACGGTCAGCACACCCATCAGGAGGCCCCGCCCCGTCCCAGCTCAGTCTTGCACACGCAAACATTTCCAGGCTCTTTTTTTTCTCTTATTTCACCAACACAGGCACCAGATGAGTGGTAGAATTTCAGCCGACTTCGTACCTTTCTCTACTGTTTGATTTTTTTACCATGAGCATGGATCATTTTTTAATAAACGTAATGAAGTAAATACAAAACCAACCAGACAACATCTATATCCTAATAATCATAGCCACCACCTATTAAGCACTTGCTATGAGCCAGGTATTGTGCTAAACACTTTATAAATGTGATTTTATTTAATCCTGTCAACAGACCAGCAAAGTAGGGATCATTACCCCTGAGTCACAAGAGAGGAAACTGAAGCTCGGGGAGGCTAAATGATTTGTCCCAGATTGTCAGCTCTAAAGGGGACGAAGTCTAGATTCACACTCAGGATTTTCACCCCCAAGGCTAGTGTTACTAAATTCCACGTGGATAAAGGGAAACTAAAGGCTTTTATTTTTTATCTTCCTAACATGAACAGCTCAAGCACAGGGTGGAAAAGATTTAACTAGACCACAGGTCTAGGGCATCCGTGGACCATAAGAGCCCACAGTGCCAAGTAGTGGTTTAAAAGTGATTGTGATCTCCAATCCAACCACATTCACCGAAGGTCCAGATCAAGAAAGGTATCAGCCACGTTGGTCAGAGCTGGGTCTGCCCGTCCATATCTCAGCCCCACATTTTTAAAACCATGGAGCCCAGGACTGAGAGAGAGGCTGTGAATGAGTGCTTTTGGTAGAACTGTTGCAGAAACTAGCAGGTGTAGCTTCCAGAAGAGGAGATGGGGGTGGGGTGGGGAGAGGAACGACAAAGACCCTCAGCCCTTTGAAAGGCTGAGGTGCAGAAGACAGAATGAGCCTGGGCCACATTGCTTCGAGGGCGAAAGTGACCACGGTGGGGAGTGCAGGTCAACAGAAGGAAGAATATTCTAATACGTGGATTCTTCCCGGAGGCTGACAGAGCTGTAGGTGGCAAGCTGTTGAGGTCGCTGGCAGAGAATTTCTAGATTGGCTGGGAGGATGGACTGGATGAGGATCCCTCACCCCTGCAGGACCCCCTTCCCTCTTCTTCCTGCTCTCCCTGGGCCCCATGCCTTTCTGCAGACCCCATCTCTGCGTCCCCGGGCTTCTGCTCTCGAAGGCGCGGGCGCGGACCCGGGGCCCTGCACACGCAGCACCCCCCGCCCCCGACGACCCCGGGCAGCCCCACTTACCCAGCACGCGGAGCCGCAGCCGCGCCTGGAAGCTGCCGGCGGGGAAGGTGCTGACGCGGCACTCGTACTCGCCCTCGTCCGCCTGCACCGCGTTGCGCAGGAGCACCGCGCCGTCCAGGGGGCTCCGTGGGGGCGGCGGCTGCTCCACGCGGCCCTCGTAGGCCGCGCTCACGTGCAGCCCGTATTGGAAGTGCAGCAGCGCCAGCTCCCGGGGGCCCTCGCCCGCGTCCACCCGCGCCCACGCCACCTGCCCCACCTGCTCGCCGGGGTCCCCTCGGTAGAAGCAGGGCAGCTTGGCGTCCTGGCCCAGCACCACGGTCACCAGATCCGAGGTCTCCAGCTCGCCTGGCCGGCACCGGCCTGCAGGGGGCGGACAGGAGCGGCCAAGATTAGGGGTGCCGCCGGACCGGGGGCGGGGGCGGGGGCGGGGGGGTGTGTGTGGACACTTATGCATGATGACAGCGAAGGCCACCAGAACTCCTGGAGCATTTTCTGCTTGCCGAGCGCGTTCCGTCCATTACCTCATTAGATCCACAAAACCTTCCCAAGAGGTGGGCGTCATTATCACCTTTAACAGCTGGGGAAACTGAGACCCAGAGACGGGAAGTGATTTGCCTAAGGCCACCGGGTCGCTGGCGGCAAGAGTCACACCCTCGCCCAGCCCACGATCGTGTCCTGGGCAATTGTGAGGTGGGAGGCTCTAACTGGAAGAGAGTTACCCAGCCTCTGCCCTCAGGGAGCTCACAGTCCTCTCCGGGAAATGGATTTTATGCGCCCAAAGACCAGGGAAGCCAGGGACAAACTTTCACCGAAGGTCCAACCAACCACGGGGAGTGGGGCGGGGAAGTGACTGCTTTCAGGAGGTGTGGCCAGGAGCCAAGGCAGGGGCTGAAAACGGTTGGCGTCTAGGATGGGGCATGTAGTATGGGAAGGGTCCATCCCAAGAGGCCCTTCAGAACATTCTTTTCATGGCTTGAAGATGAGAGACCTGGATTCCCAGAGAGAAGAAGGTATTCTATGTGGGAGGAATGGCACGAACCGAGGCTCGGATACAGGAATGAGCAAGTCATTGAAGACAGAGAGGCCCCAGGTCAGAGGCCCGGAGAGATGAGGTCAGGGCAGACACCCCGCGACAGGGTCAGGACGGGGAGCCAGAAGCCGAGGAGCAGAGACGGGGACCAGCGAGGAAGGGTGCATCGATGAGGAACAGTAAGAAAGCACCCCGGGGTAGCTCTCATGTCACCTCATTTTCAAAGAAGGATCCCTTCCTTGCCCTCATGGAAGCTGAGATCTGTCCAGGAGGAAGTACATTTGCGGACAAATACAGAAAGGTGTGACAGTCTCGGATTTAGTGCTCAGTGGTATGTTGCAGGCTAGCTGTGGGATGGGACGGTTACTGGGGCCCTAAGTTCTGTGGGAGGGCCTGAGACAGGAGTTGGGTAGGACCAGGAGGGGGACAGACCCAGAAAGGGGTTCCAGGTGAGGGGCCAAGGTGGGCAAACCCAAGGGGTGAAGAGGCTGGTTGGTTCAGCAAGCAGAGAGGGAAGGACACACCTAAGGCAGAGGGTGTGTGTTGAGCAGGAGTGGGACACGGGGTCGGGCCTCCCACACCAGGCAAAGGGAGTCATGGGGGATCACTGCAGTGGGGGGCCAGTGGCGACGTGCCCTCCGACTAGAAAGCAGGGCCCCTGAAGACCCGAGACTCACTAGGAACCCTTCGTGCTGTGGCACGGGGAGGAGGGGACAGCCCTGGGGGAGACTGACCAGAAGGAGAGATGAAAGACAGAAGACAGGGGCGCCTGGGTGGCTCAGTCATTAAGCGTCTGCCTTTGGCTCAGGTCATGATCCCAGCCAGGGTCCTGGGATCGAGCCCCTGCATCGGGCTCCCTGCTCAGCCGAGAGCCTGCTTCTCCCTCTCCCACTGCCCCTGCTTGTGTTCCCTCTCTCTCTCTCTAGGTCAAATAAATAAATAAAATCTTTAAAAAGAAAGAAAGGAAGAAAGACAAAGGGCAAAGGCAAGTCCTGGGTTTCTAGGATGAGTAACTTAGGAGGGAGGCAGGGCTTGAGGAAGCTCAGGGTCGGGAAGAATGAATGTGGAGCTGGGGAATAAAGTGTGGGGAGCATAGGGCTGGGGGCAGAGTGAGGGCTCTCCCTGGGATGCCAAGAGCTCCTTGCCTTGGAACGGACATCCAGCAGCTCCCAGAAGAGCAAAGCCCCTGCCGCTGACCAGCACCGCACACCCTGCTCACGCTGTGCGCCTCCTGGAAGGCCCTCCTCCCTATGTCTGGTAGCTCCTACTCATCGCTGTCTGGCTAACTCCTACTCATCCTTTAGGACTCCGCTTAGACATCACTTCCTCCCGGAGTCCTCCCTTCCCCACCCCCACCCCACCCCCACCTCAGGCAGCGTGAGGTGCCCTCCCCTGTTCTGCCCAACGCCCTGCTCTCACCTCGCCATAGTACTTTATCCCCTGGATGGCGTTCGCCCTTTTCTTGTCTGCCTCTCTCACCGGACAGAGCTCCCTGAGAGTAGAAACTGGGTCTCACATCACACAGGGAAACCTGGTTTCTGATTTCGTGCTCAGTGGCATGTGGTCGGCATTCTTGGCACGTAACTGGTGCCCGATTAATTTTATTGACTGAGTGAATGAATGAGAGCGAGCGAGAGAGAGAAAGAGGTAGAAGAAGGAAAGGGTAGAAGGAAGGGGAATGAATCTTTGGTTGGGCTGGGCAGACAGGGAGGGGTTGGCATGGCAACCAGGGGCGGAGGCAGGATAGGCTGGCTACCTGGGTTCGCTGCCAAAGGGAGCAGTTCTGGACTCACATAGGGAGAAAGAAGTGGGCGGAGGGGGCAGTTACGGAGGGAGAAGGTGAAGCCCCACTAGAGTGGACCAGAGGGTTCCAGTGAGGCAGAGCCTGGGCCAGGGGAAGGGGGTCCCATGGCCCTGCTAGCAGGGGCGGAGGGAGGGAGGATGCTGTTGGGAGGACCCGAACAGGACGGGACAGACCTGCAGGGCCAGATACCAGGGCCCTGACCTGCCTAAGCTGGTCTTGGTCCCACCCAGCCCAGCCTGGGAGTCCAGCTAACTACCTGCGCCCCTCCCAGACACCTCCTCCCGGCGCTGGAGGGTGCAGGCCTGCCAAGGAGGGGCTGGAGGTGGGCTTGAGATAGGGGCTCATCCCCCAGCACATGGTGTCTGTGGTCCCACGGATCCCAAGCCCTGCTCCACCAGGACCCTCAAACCTTCCTAAAGACTATTTCTGGGACAATGTCAGATGGCTTATTTTCCTTCCCTATCCCTACACTTGCCAACCATCTGCCCCTCTCCACAACTAGTCACCCACGTTTTCCCCGACATATACCTTCTCCAGGGCACAACAGGCATATATATGCCTGAGTCACAATCCTCCACGTCCCTCCCTGTGGGTGCAAGATCCCCACTCCCCAGTGATAAGCTCAAGCTTTGTGGGATGAGGTACCCAGGAAAACAGGAGAGTCCCTTCAGGACCTCTCCCACAGCCCCTCACTGTCCTAAATCCACTATTCAGCGGGAGCATCTCAGCTGGGGGCAACATCCTCCTCCAGTTCATGCACACACACGCACGCGCGCACACACACACATGCACGCGCACACACGTGCGCTCACACGCACACAATGCACGCACACACGCGTGCACACGTGCGCTCATACATGCACGCGCACACACACGCATGCATGCACAGGCTACAGCGGAAGGAAGAGAGACCTTGGGCTCTAGAATCCCAGTCCTGGGCTAACCAGACCCAGAAACCCAGACTTCCAGGCCAGGGCAGGCCAGGACCGCCGCCTCCTCCTCTCCCCCACCCAGTGCCCGCCCGGCGTCAGCATGATGATGTCACCAGAGCAAAGGAGACACACCGCCTGCCTGATGAGGTCACCCCACGGGCATGTGGTTGCCAGGCCGGGCCAAGCCCACGGACCCTCCCGCAGCACATTGTTTGCTGAGGCCGGTGGACTCTGCTGGGCGGGCGCTCCTCCCTCCGACCGTGCCCTCCTCCCTCCGACCGTGCCCACCCCTCCTCCCGGGAGCACGGGGACGCTGGTCGGGAGCTGCGGTGATTCAGAGGCTGCCACACAGCAGCAGGCCTAGCCGCAGCCGCCACCAGCCACCAGCCACCACCTTGCGCAAGGGAAGGAACAGGCCCAACTGGCCAGACGGGATCCCTGCCCTCAGCCTCCCCCACCCCTGGCCAGGCCCCCACGGGCCTCTTTGGGGCCCTGCCCTCTGTGTACCCCGCCCGCTGCCAGACAGGCCCTCCACTCCGGGCCTGGGTTGGCTGCCTGCTCCCTACGCCGGGCCTGGGTCCCAGCTTCCCTCTCCGGGTGAGGCCCGGCCCCTGACCTCAGGAGGGGACACTGAGGCTGGCAGCCACAGATCACAGCGTCTTTGGGGAAGGAGGCTTTTCTTTATGAGGGGCCTTTCTCCATCAGTATCCCTGCTGGTGCAGAGAGGGGCACACGCAGGGGTCCTGGAGGAGGGTCTGTGAGGAGGAGGAAGAGAGTCAGTGTGAGCCTCCACCTCTGAACGTGGGACATCTTCGGGAGAGGGCCTGGGGGGTCTCAGTGCTGGGCTTACAGGTGAGGCCGGCTCCTTACTTCAACGGGGGATGTTTCGCACTTGTATGTGCTCTCGTCTCATCTTTAGGGAAGTGTAGGTGCTTGTTGGCGGCGGGAGAGAGGAGCCGTGCAGTGGCGTGTGCGTGTGAACGGGTGTGAGGACGCTACTCCGTGTGCGTCTCACAAGTCTGCGTCCCCGGCCCGCGCGACTCTGAACGCAGAGTAAATATTTTGATGTCGGTTTCTCCCGGGGCTGCCGCGTGTCTGTCTGTCTTAGCTGCCCTTGGTGTGTGGCTCTGCACCCTGGCCTCTGTGTCCCAGCTGGAGTGTCGCCAGGCGCCCCTCCCCACCTCACCCCAGACTTGAGGGCAGATTCATCTCAGGTGGAGGTAGGTACCCAGAGATGAGGTCACTGTCCCTCCAGGTGATGGGAAATTGCCATCCGGGGCTCCCCAGCAGAACAAAACAAAAGCTCACCCTGCCGTTGCTCCTCAGGTTCCTGCTAGAAGGACTCCCACCCTTCTCACCACTCCCCCCGGGAGCCCCCCAGCCCCTCTGGCCCCCCAGGAGGCCTCTCCCTGGGAATCTGTCAGGCCTCTGCTGCAGCCAGCACCAGAAAAACCAGCTCTAGCTCCAGGCCCGGGGTGAGGGTTGTCTGGTGCGGGTTTGGTGGGAAGGGGGGGGTCTTGCCTAGGGCTAAGGGGAGGGGTCCAAACTGTCTGGGGGGGCTCATTCTCCTTTGTTAACTCTTGCCTCCCCTCACCACACAGCAGCGGCCTCTACCAGACAGAGCTAGAATACGGGGGACAGTCTGGGGTGAGAGAGGACCGGGGAGGAGCCCCGAAGCCCCCCATTCAGGACACGTGGCATCAAAAACCTGTGAGCCCGGGCGCCTGGGGGGCTCAGTCGGTTAAGCGACTGCCTTCGGCTCAGGTCATGATCCTGGAGTCCCGGGATCGAGTCCCGCATCGGGCTCCCGGCTCGGCGGGGAGCCTGCTTCTCCCTCTGACCCTATCCCCTCTCATGCTGTTTCTCTCTCTCTCAAATAAATAAACAAATAAAATCTTAAAAAAAAAAAAAAAGATATAAAAAAAAAAAAAACCTGCGAGCCCGTTTTCTTCCCCCCCTTCCCCCCTACAACCTTGGCCTTGGGGTGCTAAGGAACTCTGAAAACCAGGAGATTCTCCCTCTGCCTTCATCCCCATCCCTCACTTAGCCCTCATTGTCCTAAGCCCCCCAGCTTAGTGAGAGCTTCCCAACCCGGGCAAAGTGCCCACCCACAGATTAGCGTCTGGGGAGGGGGCCATACCAATCCCAAAGGGAGGCGAGAACAATGCAGGAGGACAGGCCTTGAGGCAGCCTGGCTCTGGCCCAGACACAGCTCCCAGCACAGATAAGTCCCCTAAACCCCCCGGAGCCAGAGTCTGAGCCTGGCTGAGTCACCACACCAGCCACACTGTGGGTGGGAGACCCGGCACGCAGCTTCTCCCAAACTCCCGAGATCCTAGCCACCCCCACCCCGAAATCCTGCCAGCCAACCCCCCCAAGGTGGGGGCCAGCTCTGCCCCACCCCAGATCATCGCCTCAGCCCAGCTCTCAGGACACACCAGTCTTAAAGGCAAGCGGGAAGGGGGTGGCCAGCAATCTAGGGGGAAAGCTCCTGAGGCCAGAAGCTCCCAGGCCCAGTGAGACAGATGACCCCACCTCCTTCACAGGCCCCCAGATCTGAACTTGACCTTCGACCTTTGTGTTATATTCAGTGTTCAGATCCAGCCCTGGCTCTTCTCCTCCCTTCCCTCCTGACTCAGCTCCTCACCCCACTGCCAGCCCTTCTCTCGGCTAGCTTTTGGTCAGTGCTAGGGGAAGTTGTGGGGGCCAGAAAGTCCCGGCCTCCTCTCCTCACGAGGCCTGCTCCCTACGGTGGCTGTCCTCCTCAGCCTGGAGGGCTCCAGGGCCCCGACATGGTGCTCTAGAAGCTGGGACCATGGGCTCTGCGGCAAACCCCCCACTGCTATCTCTGTAGCGGGGGTCCCCTTAGGCCCCTGAAACACTAGGGTGGGGCCAAGGTCACTGGGGCCACAGGGCTTCCCTGGGATTCCCCTAGTCCCTGCTACCTTGGGTGGGGAATACGCCTCCCTTTCTGGCTTCCCTGGGTTGGGGTAGGTCCTGCAGGAGAGGGCCTGCCCGCCTCTGTAAACAGGAGTAGAAAAGGAGGGATGGGGCCCCTCCCTTTCTAGGGAACTAACCTCAGGTAGAAAGCTGATCCTAATCCTTGGAGGGCAGACCACAGAATTCAGGGAAGCCCTCACCCTCTGGTCCTACAGGACCCAGTTGGGCCCAGACAAAGAGCTAGAAACTAGCATCCTACTGGAGGGATGCCTGTAGATTTGGGCCCCTCAGCCCCAGGGCAGGAGATGGGGGAGGGAGAAGGGAGGGGACCTCACCCGGAAACTCATCCCATTAAAGAGAGACAAAGAGCTGTGGTGTCAGGAGCCTCCCAAGCCTGGGCTCCTCTCCCCATTGGGGTGGGGCAGTGCCCTGGGGCTCAGAGCTCTAATGGCCCAGGAGTTGGGGGGTGGGTGCTCTGATTTGCAGCAGGGCAGGGGCAGAAGGCAGCGTCCAGGGTACAGCCACCCTGGGTCCCCGCTGTGAGATGGGTCAGGACGTGTCCCCTGGCGTCACCACAGCTAGCCTGGCCACCTCCTCCAGCACCCTCCGCCCTCCCCCTCCCTCCCTCCGCCAGGGGCTGGACAGTCACAGAGCCATAGGACTGCAGAGCTGGAAGGCCCGTGGAGACCGTCAGGTCCTACCTCCCGGTCTGCTGAAGTCCACCCTCTTAGCTGCCCAAGGTCACCTAGCAAATTCATAGCGGAAATGGGGCCAGAATGCAAGACTCCTCTGACTGCCAGCTCAAGGCTTTTTCAGAGGCAAGAAATAATCCTGCTTCCCAGGGGGTTACACATAGACGAGCCAGAATGGGGGTGGCAGTGGAGGTGGGCATCAGGCTGGGAAGCTGATGTTGGGAACCAAGCTCCAGGCTTCAGAGCACCCTCCAGCTCTGCACAGGTCCTAAGCAGCCGCAGCAGAGTGGTGGCTCACTGCTCACTGGCCACCTGGGATAAGCCTGGGGCCAGGGTGCCCCCGAAGCCGTGGCACCTGTCCATCAGGCAGTGGGCAAGGTCAGGGTGATGCCCTGGTTACAAGAGGTCTCCTCTCCCCTTCCCTGGGCCCCTCTTAGCAAGAACAGCTTTGTGTCCTAGAAAAAGAAGGCAGGGACCATGTCTTGTGCCCACTGCGTCTCCAGCACCTAGTACCCCAGCTGCACCCAGCGTGCACCCAGATGTGCGAGCCTTTAATGGGCGTGGGCCTGGGAGACCAAGACACTCACCCTGGTCATACGTCTAACACTAGTAATCTTTTTTTTTTTTTTTTGAGGGAGAGAGCGAGAGAGTGTGTGAGCAGTGGATGGGGGAGGGGCAGAGGGAGAGGGAGAGAGAGAATCTTAAGCAGACTCCATGCCCAGCGCCAGCCCAATGCAGAGCCCGACACGGCCTCAATCCCACGACCCTGAGATCATGACCTGAGCTGAAATCAAGAGTCTGGCGCTCAACCAACTGAGCCGTCCAGGCGTCCCTAACATGGAGTAATCTTAAGACGTCACTTGCCTACCTATTTCTTTCAGTTTTCCCATCTGGAAAATGAGGCAGTTAGAGTGGTGACTTCTCTGACCCCTTCCACGTCCTGAGACCCCATGGCTCTGTCCTTCAGGGCGGGTAGATCCCACAGAAAAGTGGCTGCCAAGTAAGTTCCCTGGCCCCAGGGACCGGACCCCACCCTCTGGGCCTGAGCACGTGAGGAGGGTTGTCTGGAAAATGGGAATTAGGACAGGGGTGAGAGGCAGGGGTTGGAGCTCAGTATCCTGTGATTGGAGACTGGCCAATGACCCTTCTGTTCCTCCCATTGTAAGATCAGCGCAAAAGGGATGCCCACCCACCCACACATCTATGCCTCATTCTCCCCACAGCTTCAGCTGGGGACCGAGTGGGGAGTCACTGCTGGGCGCTGCCGGACAATGAGACTCCCTTGCAACTGCACCTGGGCCGATCTAGGTAGGGCTCTGTCTTCCGAGGACCAGGATTCCTGTTACTCTTTACCCTGGAAACAGCCTAGGGAATCCCACTGTGGCCTCACCGTGCACACACACACACACACACACACACACTCTCTCTCTCTCCCCCACTCCGAAGATTATAAATTCCTGTAATTTATATGCACTAGGCAAGAGCAACATAGGCAAGAGGAAATAAGGGGACAGGGCATAAACAAAAGGAGGCCACACCCTATCTAGAAATTACCCTACCCTAGACCCCCACTCATCTAAGTATCGCGCCCACCTGACCACCCTGGCATTTAACAGTGTGCCCAGGGAAAGAGAAGGGCCAGAGTGAAGGAGCTGCCAGCTCCCCAGTTGTCTCCCAGCAGGGGCTCCAATCTCTAGGACATCATGGAGAGGAGAGAAGGAAACAGGAATGCCCCGTCCACTCTCTGGGGCAGCAGGCTTCCTACACTCTGGTGACTGCTAAAACCAGCTCAGCCCTGAGTCAGCCCAGCGCCAGTCAGCAGTTTTGGAGCCTGGGGGGGCAGGCGAAGGAGCCTCCAGGAAGCCCTGGGGTGAGAGGGTCCCCACTTGTGCCACCCCCACCCCGGCCACCTGCCCGGGGCCAGCACGTCTCATCCCGCGGAGGCAGCTCTGGCTTAGGCAAGGCGATGGCAGAGGTGGTTGGGGACCCCAGACGGAGTGACATGGCCCGGGGCAGAAACAGGTCAAGAAGGGGGAAGCGTGACCCCGGCTCTCGTGGGGGCACTCCTGGCGGGGGAGTGGGAGAGAGAGATCGGTCCCTCGGCCCGGAGTCAAAGGAAAGAGACTATTTCTGTGTGCGCGCGTCAGTGCGGGTGGGCGTGCGCGTGCGCGCGCCGGCTTGGCCTCAGGCGCAGGGGTCCTGACGGTCCCGGCGAGTCCTACCTGTAAATGATGCCAGCAGCAGCAGCAGCACCAGGGCCTCGGGCCCCCACATCTCGGCTCCCAGGGACGGGGCCATCGGTCGGAAGGCAGAGCTGCCCAGTGGTTCTGAAGTTCCGCCGAGTTCTCCCTGGGAGCCGGCTCTAGAGCTGGAGAGGGCACCGACCCAGGAGGCAGGAGATCACCGAGTCCGCCTGCCTGTCCCTCTGGGGGTCTCTGCTGGGGACCCAGCCCCGCTCTGCCCACCCGGCTAGAGCTGCCCCCCAAAAGCAGTGGTCGGGAGCTCCGAGCTCCCCCGGAGCTGCTTCCCACGCCGCGGCCAACGACGACGGCGGCAGAAACCTGGGAACCTGCTCAGCAGGTCAGAACAGGTGCGTCTCCGGGGGTGGGGCCTGGCACGGAGACTCAGCAGCCACCGCCCCCACGGCCTGGGCTAGCTAATGGGCGCCACGGAGGGAGGGAAGGACCTGGCGGGGGGGCGGGGGGGCGGGGGGGCGGGGATCCCATCGTCAGCTCCAGGCTTTACCTGGCAGCATGGAAGGGGCTGGGAAGGGAGAGGCAAGGTGCTGGGGGGGCGGGGTAGAAGAAGGCCCAGGGTGGCTCAAAGAGGGAGGCACCAGGCCAGGAGGAACAGGGACAAGGCCCTTGTGGGTGGAAAGGAACCCAAGCATCCCGCACCCTAACTAGCCTTGCTGCCTCCCCAGGGCCTTGCCAAGTTCCCCAATCTCCTGGAGGGGCTCAGCTTTGATGCTGAGAATCGGAGAAGCCCGGGACTGAGAAGTACGGTATTGGCCCATAGACCTCATTCTCCAGATGAGAAAAGGGGCCCAGAGAGGGGAACGGGCTTGCTGGAGGACACACAGCTTCGATAGTAACACGGTTTTCTTGGACATCTCTATCCCTGAGACAGGGATCTAGCTCAAAGACCCTGGAGAAGGAGCTTGAGTGACGCCCTCCTGGGTCCCACTGTCCATAGGAGAAGCCAAAGGACTGACGGAGAAATTAGCCCCACAGACTCCTGGCCTCCCTAGCGGGACCCTCTCTCAGCTTCAACACCTCCCTGTTACCCGGCCAGGAATCCCCAAGGTGCATCAGCACAACTCTCCATGGTTCATTTTACCCTTTTATGCCATGGTCACAGGACGAGAGCACATGTCTGGACTTGGCAAGGGTAATCTTCATTTCAAACACTCTGTCCTTGTATCCTTGTAAGTATACTCACACTTGTAGGACCATGTGCATAAAATGTCACCACCAAGTCACACAAAACCTTCCTGGCCAATCTGGGATAGCCAGAGGAAGGGAGCAAGCTCTGAACTCCCTGAAAACTGGGTGAAGGGGAGGGACAACCTCACGGACAGACTGGGGCCAAAAAAAAAAAAAACAGGTAAGGGGCGCCTGGGTGGCTCAGTCGTTAAGCATCTGCCTTCCACTCAGGTCATGATCCCAGAGTCCTGGGATCGAGCCCCACATCGGGCTCCCTGCTCAGCGGAGAGCCTGCTTCTCCCTCTCCCACTCCCCCTGCTTGTGTTCCCTCTCTCGCTGTGTCTCTCTCTTTTTGTCAAATAAATAAATGAAATCTTCAAAAAAACAAACAAACAGGTAAATATGGAGTGAAACCTGAGAAAAGGAAATAGAGGTTAAGCTTTGCAGCAGGACTCTTTTGTGTGGCCAGAGGCAGGAAGGAGGACTCGAGAGCACTAAGGGAGGGTCATCTTGCGTAGACTATTTCCCACACCCCACAGCCCACACCCCCAACTCTGTCAAATCGCATTCATCTTTCAAAGCTGACCTCAGATGCCACATCTTCCACGAAGCTTTCTCAGCTCCTCCCACCCAAAATGAATCTTTCTCCCTCTGCTCTTCCCCAGCCTCTGCTAGTCCCTTTATTATAGCTTATGTACCCATAATTTGTGCACATCTTATCTCCTTACCTAAATGTAAGCTTCGGTTCACAAAGCATGGATTGGAGCCTGCTGCGTGCCAGGGACCCAGCAAATGTGTGAAGCTGAGGGACGGGACCAGAGCTGGGGTCTGTGAACTCCTGGAACCGTCAGGCTTGTTTAATGACCTCGTCTCTGTCACCCCTGCTAGGTCAGCCCGCGGCACTTGGCACTGAACACACTTTTGCCAAAGGCATGAAGTGGTGAGTGAATGGATGTCAGTATGGAAAGGGTGGTCCAGGAGGGTCAGTAAAGTGGAGATCCCGACTCCCCTGGTCCTGGGCTGTCACCCGGACCCTCACCCTGCCTCTGGACCATGACCCCCCACTCTGGTCTAGATCCAGCTCTTGGCAGTGACCGTGCTCGTGACCTCTTCTTTGAGGGCTATTTCCAGTGGGTCAGGGGTGGCCCCAAGGGCCAGGCCAGATGCCCAAACTCCCCAGTTTCTCTCCGCAAACCCCTTCCCCTCCTTAGGATGCAGGTCCCCGCCTGTGCCAGAAGGGCAGCCTCACCCCGATGCCACTTTGAGATCCGCTGAGGCAGGGGTGGAGTAGGGCCAGGGGGGATGGGAGGGGGGAGCATCCTGTGTTATAATTATAATTATCACATCTTGGATCCTATTGCATGGTTTCAGAGAAGCTCCTTTCCTTCCCACGGATTCACCCCCTCCTGGTCCAGGAAACCGGAGGAGAAAGTGAGGCATGGGGGTGGGACAGCAGTTAGGTCATGGGGTGGGCATCCAGCGCCTGTATCCCCTCCGCCTTCCCATTCACAATATACTCCCACCCCTCCACAGTGCCACTGGCCAGGAAGTCTGTGAGCCCCTCCATCCTCACCCCTACTCCAGCCATACGGAGCGCTGAGGGGAGGCGGGACTTGCCAGAGCTGGTGTTAAGGCCAGGATGTACCCAGTGTAGTCAGGCCAGGCAGCCACCCCTGGCCTTGGCTTGAGGTAGGAGTCTGGCCCTCCCTCATCGAACGAATACCCATCTCCAACTTGCTCTCCGCCCTGTGCCCTCACCCTTGTGCGTCCCACGAGGGCATGCTCTTGGGGGGAACAGGCCATCTCACTTAGGCTTTTCCTTCCCTCCTCTGGGACGAGGCCTGGGGAAAGGCAGATTCCAGGGCTGGGGCTGGAAGAAAATCCTGGCTGGGGAAGACCTAGACCAGTGCCTGGTTTCCTGGGTTCTGTTCTTTCTTCCTCATTGAACCCCCATTCCCCTCGTGCCTCACTACCTACCCCTCTCCCACCCAAATTCTGGGCCCTACGAATGGGAGCAATTCAAGCCCAGGTGGCATCTTCAGCGTGTGTACCCGCCTGAGCGGCATCACCGTGCGTGCCTGGCTGCCTTAGTTTACTCACAGACACTTAGTGAGCACCACTTTGTGGCAGGCTCCAGGGAGGGGACAGGGACACCTAACACAGGGTGCCTGCCCTCCGTGAGCCCTCAGTTAGGAGAGCTGGGAAACAGAAACTACAGGACGCTGTAGCCCACCAACCTGTGTTCCCTCCATGTCTCTGTGCACCTGCCGCGTCCAGTTTCGGGCTGTTCCTGCCGAGTACAACTGCAGATGTTCACAATCTGCTTGTGTCCAAGCATCTGCTTACAACTCATCTCTGTCCCCATGGCAGGCTGCACACCTAAGCCAAACCGGTCCGAGTGGGTTGTGCTGAAAGTTTTGTTTGTGTCAATGGGACTTGGAGGTGAGTCAGGGAGGGACAAGAATGGGTGGGGTGGGGTGGTGAGAAGAGTGAGAGTGAGGGTCAGGCTGAGTGAGGGGAAGGAGGAGCCAGTCAAGGCGGGGGGAAGGGTTGGGCTGGGGGGCGGTCAGGAGGATGGGTTGGGGTAGGAGTAAACCAGAGAGCTCCTTAATGAGTAATATCCCTCTTTGCAGTGAGATCCCAGGTCACAGAAGAGTCAGAGGCTTGGGGGCAGGGGCAGGGGAGACCCTCGGGCTTTGGGAGAGACGAGAGTGGATTATAAATCAGTGCAACTAGGTAGAAGCCTGCGTGCGGACAAAATGTCTGCCACCCATTGCTACCCGGCTTGGTTTCTCCGTGTGAGAGGAAGCTATTTCTGATCTGCTCATTGCCTCGGTTTCTACAGCTTGTACAGAAAGGCTTTGGGGGTGCTGATCGACGTGGTGGTGGAAGATTGCTGACATGGAATTTGATGCTATCCCCCAGGACCAAGGCTTAGAGCTCACTTCTGCTCCTTCCTAGGATGCCCCCCACATGCAGAGATCCCCATACAGAGCATGGGTTCCAGCAGCTTTTCCTCCACTGAAAAACACCTTTGCCCCCTGGGGCTGGAGCGTCACCGTGCCCAGTATTAGGATGGTGGCATCCTGTTTTCCAAGAGATTGCATCTGAAGGTTCCATCTGACACGTGCTGTGCTGTTCCTATCTCCCTGTGCTGCAGGCCCAGTGACACCCAGTGACGCCCAGTCCCCGGCCCCATTCCTTCATGGCAACCACACTTCCTGGTTGCCTCCAACACCCCTTGGAGCTCAGGGGGCTGGAGCTGCTTGTTCCTAAAGGCGTCTATAGCTGGACTGACCCACCTGGGGGAGAGGGCTCAGCAAAAGGCACGTGCGGGCCCCGTTCCCTAGAAGGCCGTTGGGTGAAGGATCCCCTCCTCCTTGCTCTCACCCCATAGGCTCCCCAGGCATCTGCAAATACAGGACCAACTCAGGGCCCAGGGCCTGGGGTAAGAGACAGATGCCTTTATTCTTTGACCCTGTGTCTCTGGATGGGCTGGCACTTTTAGAAGGCTCCAGAAATAGGTCATGGCAGGTCTAGGACGAGAGTGGGAGCCCTCATGGAAACCAGTCTTCCACGCGGGGACGGTGGCAGCAGGGGGTACAGCAGCAAGGAGGGGTAAGAGCAAAGCAAGCAGGGTCCTGGGCGCTTGGCAAGAGAACGGGTTCTCGTGAGGATCCCAAGCTGTGCCCCCTGCCCTCTCCCAGTCTCCATCCCAACCACATAAGGCATGAGGCTCCTCCCAGGAAGCGCACCTGCGGGGACACATGTCGCAGCCCCCAGGGCCCAGGTGGTCTGCAGAGCCCGCACCACCAGCGGCGCCTTCAGGAAGCACCAGGCCTTTGGAGTCTCTCACATGCATCCAAACATTCAGCTTGGACACGGTGGGTATGGCGCCTCTGCCAACCAACGACAGCCACTTCCTGGCCATCGCCTGAGCTCCTGTCACCCCGACTCAGCTGCCCCGGTCTGTGGCAGAAGGCTCGGGGTGCAAGCCGAGCAGGGCAGGCCCCAGACTCCCCTCCTGGGCATCTCCCCACCGGCCCCAAAAGGCACGCAGGCCTTCCTTGCAAGCAGCCCTAGTCGCTGCCCTCCAGCATCACCTCGAAGCATTTCTGAGCCTGTTTCTCCTCCAGTTCTAGAAATGGTGTAAAAAAAGAAGGGCTAGGAAGCCAGAAAGAGAGTGAGAGTTCTTTCCTGTGATAGTTTGCAAGATCAGGGAGCACTGGTCCATGAACTAGAAGGAAAGGGTAGAGGAGCAGAGATGAGTCTCACTCCCCCTGCTAGCCTGCTTCCCTCCTGGGCCCAGGCCTCCATGCTCTAAGGTCTTCTGTGGGGAAATCCTACTCCCTGGAAAGGGCCCATACACTGCAGCTCGCTCAGGTCCTCGTCAGAAACTGATACCCTAGGACCGTGCCCGGGGACAGCCTACAGTCTACAATGTAGCCAAAGGGGAGAAGCCTGGCCACTCCTGGAAGGTTCCAAAGCTCCTTGTGGGAAAGTCAGAGGGTTGGCTCTGTTCAGCAGCACAGAGAGAAAGAGAGGGAGAAGGGCAGACTCAGAGAAACACAAAAGTAGAATTGGTGAGAGACAGATCTCAGGGCACACGGAGACAGGCAGACACCTAGAGAAAGAAAGGAGCAGGGGTGAGAAATAGACACACACGGAGAACAATGAGGAGTAATTCAAAGAGACAAAGAAGCTGAGACAAAGTCTGCAACAGAGACAGAAAGACCCGAAGAGAAATTTCTGAACGACTCCTTGCCCACTGCTGCCCCTTCCGCCTCCTTCCCTCTCCTGCTCTCCACTTCAACCACTCAGCATGGACCCAGTGACATTTTCCTACTCAGTATCGCCAAGTCCCTTAATTCAAGTTTTTCCCAATCCTTAGCCCACCTCCCCCCACCCCCAACCTGCCTGATTGCCTCTCCGCTCCACCCTGTCTGCTCACAGTCCCACCTTTCCCTCACACTCCTTCCCGCTCACGTCTCAATCGAACGAGCTCTCAAGATCTGGCCTCTCGCCGTCTCTTTTCCTGGCCATTCCTCTGTCCTTCTGTTCATCCATGTCCTTATTCTGGCTGAACTAAGAGCAAAGAGCCAGAATTAGGGCCAGGAAGGCATGGGGCCAGGCAGTCAACTGGCCAGAAGGAGCTGGGGAAAAACATAGAAGGTCAGAGGACAACAGAGGAGCCAGAGAGGGTGGGACAGCCCGGGGGACACAGGCAGAAGGAATGGAGGAAGTCTGGAGAACGTCTCCAGCTGTTGTGCCCTGAACAGAGCTGAGAACCAGGGGTGGCTCCGGGGTCAGAGTGAAGTTAAGGGAAGGAGAAAACAGAGTAAGAGTTCTGTGAAGGATTGAGACGAGCAGATAGCCGTCTGGGGCTGGGACAGACATCTGAGACTGGGAAGCTGGGCTCTAGGCACCCTTGCTCACCAGAAATGGCCACCAGAGGGCCCTGTCAGGACTGGGAGACTTTCAGGATGATCTGGCCCCCAGCCCCCCTCCTGCACAGAGGTTGTCCCTGGATATTATTGGCAGGTGAAAGCAGGGCCAGAAAAGGAGGAGCCCTTCTGGCTACTCTTCTCCTATTCTCACACAGTCCCCTTTCAGGGCTACCCTTCACTCTATCTTAATGCCCCTTAGTTTCTGGAACACTGACAGGGCCATCACAAACCACTTTAGATGCTGCTCTGGGGTATAAAGTATATGTCATACAAAGGCAGACTGGCTTTTCTTTCCTTTTTTGTCTTGTTCTCCCCCCCGCCCCCCACCTTCCTCTCTCCCCTGGATTCTTTTCTGCCTTTTCCAAGATTCGGGCTTGATTCCGACTAACCAGAGGAGGTAGGAGTCCTGAGCAGCTCCTCCCCTGGGTCTATGTAATGGAAACACCTCCAGCTACTAAATGGGACTGGAGGGGGGATGGCCAAGGAGTATGTGAGGTTCAGGTTCTACATCCAAGTGAAATGCAAACCAGCGAGGACGCAGAGTCAGAGTGGAAGCTGAGAGAAGGAATACTGAGCTGTGAGAGAAAAGCTGGAAAGGCCCCTGGGGTGGGGAGTTCCCTGTTCTACCCAGAAGAGGCAGAAAATGAGTCTACCCCAGGGCACCTGGCTGGCTCAGTCAGCAGAACATGTGACTCTTGATCTTGGGGTTGTGGGTTTGAGCCCCACGTTGGGTGTAGAGGTTACTTTAAAAAAATAAAAGCTCTGGGGGAAAAAAAAGAAAGAAAATGAGTCTGGCAACATGCACATATAGGCCACCAAGGGCCACCCCCCAAGACAACTCCTTGCCTAAATCCTGGGAGTATGATAGATCTTGAGTCCAGCTGTTAGGAGCCTGGCCAGTCAGAGAAGTCTTGGGGAGAAGGCTGGCTTTTGGATTTCAGTCAGGGACATTAGAAGTTGGTGATATGGGGAGCACCTGGGTGGCTCAGTTGGTTAAGTGTCTGACTCTTGGCTTGGGCTCAGGTCATGATCAGAAGGTCATGAGATGGAGGCCCGTGTCAGGCTCTGCACTCAGTGAGGAGTCAGCTTCAGATTCTCTCTCTCCCTCCCCCTCTGCCCCTCCTCCCACTCGTGCTCTCTCTGAAATAAATAAATAAATCTTAAAAAAAAAAGTTGGTGATTTTTTAGAGATTTTGTTTCCATGATCTGGGAAAACTGAGGATCCTCTCTGTTAGACCTCGTAGACCCTGGGAAATCTGGAAATGAGTGGGCAGAGACTTTCAAAGCTCTTACTGGATCTCGGCTTCAGGAACAAGTGGGAAACAGGTCTTGTGACCCTCTGGTCTCTCGGTGCCTTCCTGCCCGTACTCTCTCCATGCTGTTTTCTCTGAGGACCAAAAGTTCAGGTCAGGGGGCCTACGCCATCAGACCCCCGTATTACACATCCATCCCCACTGCAGCCCTGGTCATTCTCTATGCCTCCATTCCTGGGGCATGATGGGGAATGAGCTGATGGGTAGAAACCAAAGGCAAAAGTAGCAGCCATCACTCCCATTTGCAGCCTGGCACTGGGGACACACAGCCTTTTTCTGTCCCACACTCTGTTTCTGCAAAGTAGAAATCTGTCTGCATTTCCTCCTGTAGCCAAAATTAGTCAGCTTGGATCTGGGCCTCTTCATTCTTCACTGGGTCCTGGAGGGACAGAGTTGGGAAGAGGCTCGGGGACTTGGCTTGAATAAAAGGGAGATACCAGGGAGGGGCGGGAGTCTGTTTTTCTCCCTCCTCCCCCACTACACCCCCATCCAGCTTCTAAGGCTGGGCAGCTTCTGCCCTGGATCTTATCAGGAGAAACTCCCTGCCCTTCATCTCCAGTTCCAGATGCCACCGTCCCTCAGTTTCCTTGCGTTGTATCAGCCTAAGAGGCAAGCTGAAATAAGGAATTATCTTTCCCAGGACTCAGTGAAAAGTTCTCCAAGGCTTAAGCATTTTTCCCTCGCCTCCCCCCAACCCAACTGCGCGCGCGCGCACACACACTCTCTCTCTCTCTCTCTCTCTCTCTCTCTCTCCCCCCCTTCCCCTCTCTCTGACGACGTGCCCTGAGAGGCAGGCTCTAACACCCTCTAGTGGCCAGAGCAGAAAGGACGCTCCCAGCCGATCCACCAGGACCTTCAAGGCTCTAGCAGGGAACGTCTTCTGAAAGACACAGCACAGTTTATAAATGAGAAAGCTGAGGAGGCCTACAGAGACTCACCCTGAGAGTCAGGGGCACGGCTGGGACCAGAACCCAGGTCTCCTGACTCCCAGGCCCCGTTCCCGGCCTCCCCCTCTGACTCATCCCTGGGGAGGGCAGGTGGATTTGGAAACGGGTGTCCCCCCTGCCCCTGCAGAGCCACGCCTGTACCTCAAACCAGCTCGCAGCTTTGATAACAGGGGTCCTTCCGGGGCCCTGGCTGCCCCCCGGCTTCCAGGATTGTTCTGGACCCCGCCCAGCTGCCGTCGCCACGGTGACAGCACCATCCGTTCCGCAGCTACGCAGGTCTCCTGTCTCCACGGTAACTGGTGCTTTGCGACCTTCACTTTGCAGCGGTCGCGCTTCCGGTGCAGCGGCGGTTGCTGGGCGACGGCAGCGGGAGGCAGGGACCCGGGTGGCTCCCGGGGTAGGGGGGTGGGGGGTGCCATGGCGCTGGCGGGGCCCCCGGGGGGCGCGGGCTGGACCTGGCGGCCGGTGGCTCGGGACGCGCTCCTGGCGCGGGCCTTCCACTCCTGCACTGAGCTGCGGGGCCGCTTCTACCTGGTGGGGGGCCTCCCGGCCGGAGGGGCGACAGAGCCGAGCGGCGACACCGTGGTCTTCGACCCGGCCGCGGGCCGGGCGGTGCAGATGGGCGCTCGGGGCGGCCCGCGGCGCAGCCACCACGACGCGGTGCCCGTGGGCGGACGCTGGCTCTGCGTGGTGGGCGGCTGGGACGGGGCGCGCCGCCTGGCCACGGTGGCCGCGCTGGACACGGAGCGCGGAGTGTGGGAGGCGTGGAGCGCGGCCCCCGGCAGCCGCCCCCCCGCCGGCCTCAGCGGCCACACCTGCACCCGCATCTCCGACCGAGAGCTGCGGGTGGCAGGCCGGGAGGGCGGGACCCGTACTCAGCGTCGCTATGGGAGCATCTACACGCTGAGGCTGGACCCCGGCGCCCGCACCTACTGGTATGGCACCCCCTGCCCCAAACGTCTCACCCTCCCTTCATCCGTGCTCTAGAAGAGCGACGGCTCGGCAGAACCGCGGGCACCCTGTCCACATCCTGACCCCCTTCCCCTGCATCCACCCTGACGACAGAGCGGAGCGCGCTCTCTGCCGGTATCACCCTCCTCTCCTCCGCCCACTGCACCGTCCGGCCTCCTTTCTGGGCTTGCCGCGAAAGAAAGGCGCTGGGGCCCAGGCAGTACAGCCCTTCTGTTTTCGGGCCGAACTTCTGCATCCCCACAGCTATAAGGAGGAGGGCTGCCACACAGCCTCCCGCTCGGGTCACTGTGCCGCCCTGCTCCGGACTCCCAGGCCCCACCCAGCTCACCAGCTGCTGCTCTTTGGGGGTTGCAACTCGCCTGAACCAGAAGTAGCTGGGCATTGGAGTCCGGGGAAGATTAAGGTATTATCTACTCACATCTTGCTCAGGGTGGAAGGGAGCTAAAATGGTGAGGCTCAAATCCCCCCAGCCAACCCCTTCTTTCTTCCGGAAGGAGGAACCACCTGCTGCCCCCCATTTGATGGAACAGCTTGCCAGGCTTGTGAGCACTGGGCAGGGGTCCCAGCAGGGGCCTCGGGGACTTCGGCATCACTCATGTTCTGTGGTGGGGCCCTTCGCTGTGCTGTTTGGTGGAGAAACTCTGACCAGAGCCAGAGACACCATCTGCAATGACCTCTACATCTATGATACCCGTGAGGGCTGGCTTGGTTGAGGAGGGGAGAAGGTGGGGAGAAGGTGGGGACACGGAAGAACCTGCAGGCGCAGAGAGAGGACGGAGTGATGGGTAGGGAGGAGCAAAAATTGACAAGTTAAAGGAATACACAGAATATTCAACTGTGAAGAGGGCCACAAATCAAGTGAGGAGAAAAAAGGCGGGCAAACCTTTGGTCTCGTGAGGAGCAGAAGCCCCACGGTGCCCAGATTCTGCTGCCTCACTGAGCACTTTCTGACCCAACAGGCAAGTCCCCTTCCACGTGGTTCCACTTCCCCTGTGCAGACCATGGGCTGAAACGCGTGGGCCATCGGACCTGCCTTTGGAATGATCAGCTCTACCTGGTTGGGGGTTTTGGTGAGGATGGCAGGACACCTAGTCCACAGGTTTGCATCCTGGACCTATTTATCTAGAGTAGTGCCAGGACACGGCCTCTGGTTTGTCGCAAACTCATAAACCATTACCACCAGAGCTATCTGCCTCATTTCAAACGCTTATTAAATTTCGATCTGAGAGT